ATATATATATATATATATATATATATATATATATATTTCCATTGACTTTAGGAATTTGTTTTCACAAGAAGCTATTAGAATAAAAACCATGTAAATATGTTGTGCTCATGTTGTATATTAAAAATTCACAAAGGAATTGCAGAGCGAATGGGACGTAAAAAGGAAAGAGGGGGACGGAGTTTCTCTCGCTTTTGGCATAGTGGGTCTCCAGGAAAGGGCTCGCACAACGGAGAAAATTTTATCCTATTGTGTATCAGTTTGACGCTATTGACTTTATCACCTTTGATGTTTCATCATTGTTTGAATTCACGTGTTATTCTTTAAACCTAATACTAGTTTGCTCATAGTTATCTAACTTGAAAGGAATTATTGTTGAATCTTTATATGGAGATATGTTTCTTTTATTGCTTAGTGGTATTATATAGCACAAAGTGATTTTGCTCTTAATTACAATAAGTAAGCCCATAAGAATATTTAACGTACATTTTTTGCACACGTTTATGAAAACAGATATAATGTTGTTGTGCTCTTTTTTTGTGATGATATAAATGTCAAAGACATATTAAATAGTTCTTTTTTTCTTCCTCGTATCGTAACTGACTTTATAAATCAACATATAGAAATCTCGTAGACAAGATTTGACTTCAATCTATGTTTATCATCTTCACTGTTGTTGAATCTGTTCTGATCTCCTATATATTGAATCAAATATGATATCAGAGTAATATGTAAATTTGGTTATCATTGTTTTCAATTGAATCCTTATCGTTTTGTGACCTAACAAAACCACAACTTTTCAATCCCTTAATTAATTGTACGCATTTAGTTAGCGCCTGAGCATTGAAATCAAAAATTACATCATAGATATGTTAATTGTATGGTTAATTCATTGTTCTTATTTATTTAATACTATCATTTTTAGTTTTATTTTTACCAAAAAATCATCGTCCATAAAAAACCCTAAACTCGTATGTCTTACTTTTCACAAGACTACGGCAAATTACACCTCATCGCTCGACATGATAATGCCTACTCCATAGACTATATATGAAAGATATAAATGACGTAATATTCTTAGAAGACCTAATTTTCAATTCACATTTATCACCAAAAGTGAAGTATCAACGTTTTAATTTTACTTCCCGAATCACAAAGGTTTTTTTTCCTTTTTAATCCTAACCATAACATCATTTCTTCCTTGTGTTAGCAACAAAGATTAAAATCACCGTTTTTACGAAATCTGATTAACATATTCAGACATGCCGGCCGGCTTTTCTACATTCTACAAAAATGTGTTCATTAGTAAATAGATTTCACTAACATTTAAAAAGACAATACCAACAAATTGAATTCTATAAAAAATTCTAATCCCTAACTGAACTTGGAATAGAATAAATATCATAATCAGGATATTCGATTGACATATATCGAGTTAGGGAACTTGATGATTGTAGTCATTGTTGTTCAACGTTCATATTCATTCGATTGACGTGTAGTTGTGGTTTGGCGATGTGCAACTCTAATTAAGCTAATATATAATAACATACAATAAATTCTATTTGTTAAATTTCGACATAAAGTTATATATAAAATAGGAGTATGATTAGTAGATAAAAGAAAGATTTAGAGTGTCTCAAATTTTGTGATATTTATGTATACACAAGTATTAGTTTTTATCTTTTATAAAAGTAGAAAACAAAATTAATATAAGCATTTAATTATTAATAGAAAAGATAAACAAATGCAATATTTTTTAAGAAGCAGCAACAAAAACATATTTCATTATTTCATAAAGCTTAATTTATTCTAATAATGCATGAACCATAGCCATTTCTCGATCTATCTCTTATTGTCTCCAATTCTCTCCCAACAACCTCATAACCAGCAGAACTAAACACCCTTATCACTCAGACCCAACTCCTAGAAAATCAATAAATTTCGGGGTTGATGGTGACGGAGGTGGTGGTTGCGGCAGGAAGACGTTGGCGACTGCAGGTTGCTGGTTATTGTTGCTCTCATACTTGATTGAGTCCAGCAAATTCATGCAAGAAGAAACAACTGCCATTGGATCTGCATCATACATTGACACCATATATATTTCTCCATTCGCCTGAAAACCACCCATTGCCCTCTTGCACTTACGACAATTCCCCACCAGTATCTCTTGTTCCTCCACTGCAAAACCAAATATTAATAGCATGAACTTTGTATACTGTGTTACATACAAAAGATATCGACACAAATGATAAATTACCATCAGAAGTCCCATTGAAAAAGGATATCCTCATGGGAGTTATCTCTAAACTGTTGTCGGTCATCCCGTGCTCGGATGGTCTTTCCAGAGGAACGAAGGTACTGCTACCAGATTCGACATCGATGGGGAGACGAACAGCAGTCTTGGCAGAAGAGGTCACCTTTGTGTGTTTCCTATACCCATTATGTAATGATTATTGAAATAATTACGGGTTATATATTCCTGGTAATTTTTCAAATACTAGATCCCATTGTTACCATACCTTGCATGATCATCATCCTTAACTACACATGCTTCTACATCCGCACCGTATTTCTTTTGTAAGATTGGGTTCCATTTGTTAAACCATCGAACTTTGCAACTATCAGCTACAGATATTTCACACAGAACAGCAATTCGTTAAATCAATTGACAAAATATACATTAATCAACAATAAAAGATTTAAGAAACTGTACGAGATCTCCCATGGAGTTGCTCGGATAATATGTTCCACTTCGTCCCCCCATGAGCCACCACATGCTTTAGGAGTTTCATGTCTTCCATTTTTGTCCATTGGCGTCTTGCCATACTGGTGTGACTTGCATGAGTACTGTAATGAGAAGAAAGAGAAACGATCTTCTGACATTTAATATTAACAAACTCAATTCACTTACTATACAATATATATGACGTGTTCTTGAAAATTCCAACTTACCGATTTCGTACTTCTTTCACCCTCTTCACCTCCCTCTGATGTTCATCAGAAACAACCGATTGAGCACTGCAAAAAAGAAAACATTAGTGCAGTACAAAAGATTTATGTAATCAATCTAATTAAAACAGGTTTAATTCGTATATCTATAGTAGATTTATTGTTTGATGAAACTAATATGACTCCAATTACCTTTGGGAAGAAGAGGATGCCATGATAGCTGTTGAGGAAGCTCTAGTAATTGGATGAATGAGTGTGGGTGATAACCTTCTTCACCAACCAATTTATAGAACTCAGAAGCCAAGAACAAGAAAGATAAGTGGGGGGAGGTAATGGGTGTTTTTT